TGGAGAACTGGATTTTCTAGAGGCATTTCACATTCATAAAAATCTTTCTGTTCTAGTTAACGATCCTAATTCCAATCCAAATTTGCCTTCGGCTTTTAGAGAAATTATGTTTTAGTTCTGGTTTCGCCAACAGATGGCGCCACTTGCTTATTCTTGTCCAGGCTTTCTTATCTTATCTAAACATTATTTCCTATCTTGTTCATTTGCGGTTTTGCAGCTGAAGATGATGGTTCGGTAAAACCATCGAAACTAGTCCTGTGAAAATTTTGTGAATTAACGCTGATTTTTGTTGTTTGACTTCTGAATCAGCATTTATTACTAGTTTCAAACGCAGAAATAATATTTTTCCGGTAAAAAAGTGTTATGATCATCAGAATAATGATTTTTTTTAAATTCATTTCGATAACGGTAAGAAATTATTTGGATCAAAAATTCGAAACATCCAACGAAAAAGTAAGAATCATTCAAGAAAATAAATAAAATTAATTTGAAATGGTTCATCCTCTCGCGATGCATTTTTCAGTCAAAATTTCTTACGGTATTACGACATTTCACTGAACAATGGCAACAAACTGCTATGATAAAATATTCTTCAGTTGATTGAAATGATTTATGTACTTAAAAATTTTAAACAGCAGGAACCTCATGGTGACAAAGTTAAAGACGTAATTGAATCGAATCGTCATATTACTGTGCGAGCGATTGCAAAAAAGGTTAACTGTTTCACACATAACAATTGAAAATCTCATAAGATGTTTTGGCCTCATTAGGAATCTCGATATTTGGGTTCCCATGGATTGAAAGAAATTCACTTAACTCAACGAATCAATATTTGCGATACACATTTCAAACGTATAACAATCTACCCGTTTTTGAAATGAATTATTACTGGCGATGAGAAATGCATCGTCTGCAATAACATTAATTGAAAAAAATTGAATCAGCATAAATCCTAACGAAAGCTAAATTACATCAGAAAAGGTTCATGCTGTCAATTTAGTAGTATTACAAAGATGCTGTGTATTTTGAACTGTTTCCTAGAAACCAAAAGATCAACTCAGATGTTCGTTGGCAACACTTATGAAACTGGAAGAAGCAATAGAAGAGAAAAAAACCAAAATCGCCAAATCGCAAAAGAATCGTGTTCCAGCACGACAATGCGAGGACTTATTGGCTGTGACTCTAAAGTAATCTTTATTTTTACAACTTCGTTTCATCAAATAACGTCAATCCACGTTTTAAATCAAAAATAATCTTTATTTCGTTTTTAGCAAATGTAAACAACTCTTTAGAACAATATTATTAGTAATCTTTTTTGCTGCCATTCCAAGAACAACAACAATTGAATATTTTTTGTTGCCATTCTCAAAACAACAAACAACAAATAAAACAATATTAATCAGTATTTAAAGTTTCTTTTTAAGTTCAAGCCACAACAGACTCACATATCTTTAGCAACACGTGCGAAATTACTATAACTTGGTTGGCAATTGATGTTGCATTTACCATATACTAGTTCCGACATTGTATCATCAAACCATCATTCATTAGGAAATTTGCAAAATTTTTTAAATGATTAAATCTTCACTAATAACGATGACCTCAAATCGCTATTGGTCGAATTAGACCAGAAGTTCAACAAGCCCGGAAATATAAAGATGGCAAAAGATCATCGAACAGAATGGAAGGTATTCAACTGACTTCAAGTTCATTTTTGTATAAAAAAAATTAGTTTTATTTTACACTTAAAAATAGAAATTACTCTCTTGGTAACCTGATACTTCCAATTACAAAAATGGTTTAAACGACGCAAATATTCATTTTTGGAATTTTTAAATATAAAACTGACTTCGTGAAAATCACGAAATCTAACTTTCCGTTTCCGGTACTTTTCCGTTTCGCCGGGGCAAATCTCGCCAAGCAGACTTCATTGGCGACAACATACATTATACACACAAAAAATATTAAAAAAATCTTAGTTCTAAGAATTATTTTTTTGAAGGCATAAACATTTTAATATCGCTTAAAATTTTATAAAAAGCCAATAATAAAGACAATAAATTTTAAAAAAGACATTAATTTAAGAATTTACTATGCTTTCATGGTTCAACATCCTGTTTTCGGCGCGCCGGTTCATATCACGTGACCCCAAGCGATCTCATCTCACATAAACTACTCTTACAAAAATATAATGCTCTCAGTAATTATCTACATTAATTTCAAGTTAAATCTTAATTTGGAACACAAGTTTAAATGCAAATGCAAGAAATTCAATTCGTACGAATAGCTTACTCATAAATTATGTAAAACTGCAGTACTTTACTTCGCTAATGCATTCTCATTAGAATTGTTGAATTTAACCCTTGACTTTACCTTTTCTATATTTTCGGCTTCGGGTAAGCGCTGTGATTGCATCCTAATTGATTTAATTGCCGAAAATGGCCTTAGACATAAAACTGAACTATCTGAATGAGGCGTAAAAGGTTACCAGCGAGAATATTCCGTTTGGCATCGGTTGTACCATTATTGGCGACTTTATCGCTTGCGCCGGCAAAACGGAAAAGTACCCTAACTTTTTATATGTTCCTATGTTCCTTATAGTCATATTTAGGAAAATTTTATACTCATTAAAAAGATAAAAGAGAAAAAGTGTAACACTTGTACAATATAAATTGATTGAAGTATTTCATTGAAAATTTGGTTATCATATTTAGGCATCGTATGCAATTTGAACAAAATATTAGCATTTGTACGAAACTGAAATTAAGATATATGAATTTAAAAACGATATATGATGTTAATATATTAAATAGCAAGCTTTCTGTGTAAACTGCTATGAAAATATTTATGAATATAAATTTCTTAAAAAATGAGATCTTATTCACAGTATTATAGAATTCCTTTTCTAGAAAACATCGGAGGCTTCAGAATTGGCACGTAGCCAAATAATAACAATATTTGCATAAATTGAAAATGAAAAATATTTCTATATTCATAACTATTTTTTGCGATTATTAGATTATGGTTCTAAAGTAATAAAACTTTATGAGAATATTAATGACGCATTTTAGTATTTGAAAACTAATAAATTAATACTGTACAAATTCCTTTGTTATTTGTAACAAAATTATAAATTAGAGAATATTTTGAGCTAGTAAATTACAAGAGAATATCACTTAAAACATTTTCTTAAATACAAGTATAGGCAATGGGGATCCGTATCAAATCTAGATTATATCAAATTTTAAGAATTTATTTTTATAAATTTAAAAGTACAAAAAACGAATATTTGTGTCATTTAAAACTATTTTGCAAGTGGATGGCAATGAAAGATTTCGAAAATAAAGGCCGCGTAAAGAAATTTGGCTGATTGGTTTTATTTGATTATGGCAAAGCTAACTGCATAAGAGTAGGGATGCCCTCGTGGAGGATTATCTAATGGAAACTGGCTCGTATACACGTTACACATTGGGAGAACCACGTAAACATCCACGCAGCCAAGCCCGTTAGCCGAGATTCGAGCCCCGGAACGAACTATCAGTGTTCAATGTCTTTACCGCTCCGCTGCTGGTAGGCTCCGAGGTTATGTTGGAAGCAATCAGAAACGTTATGTCTCTCGCAGCGGTAACACTTACAGATGTCATATGCAAGACATATAAAGTCACGTGTGTTAATTGTGGTTAAGAGAAAAGGACAGGGCCGGCACCAAAACCGGTGCAACCCTGGGCAAAATTTTAGAATTTAGGATGGCAATGGGCGGCAGAATTTCAATGTCAGGATTACATCGGGCAGCAAAAAGCCTAGCTACTACCCTGGAAGAGGGTCATGTATGTTAAATATGTATAATGTGCACAGATCACGTGTTTATGTTATGTAACATAATATATTATCAGAGCTGGTTTTAGACATAATAAGGTCGTAAGCTATTTGAGATATGTGGCCCTTTATAAGTCTGTTATACTATATTTTAATACTATATTTATACTGTATCTTAATTTTTTGGGTCCCCAAGCAAGTGGGGACTATAGCTTGCGTAGCTTATACATAAAATCCTGCACTTTATATTATTACATATAATGAGGTATTTTAAGAATAACAATTGAAAATGCTAAAGATAATATTAAATTTTAAGGATAATACTTGAAAAACACATAACCTATTAATTCAAGATGGTTATATTTAGGCATTATTGTCTTATTTTTAATAAATAAAACTTTCTTTTTTAACATGTAATTCCTTTTTGCAACTAAGAACAGAAAGATCGAAGAAGTTTAGTTCTGCGTCGCTAGATGGCGCCACATCCTTTTTTTTTTTAATCGTCGATTAAACATTGGGTTAACGGCGGTGCATTTTTGCGCTTATTTCTGAAACTGCCATGTGCCTGGAGCATTCATTTAATTACAGGTCAAAGCACTTAGTGGCTATATGCCTGAATATCACCTCGGTCAACGGCCAATGTTAATACTATACAGTACCTGTGTAATGAGCAGGGTAACATGAATTGATCGTATATAATAATCATGAGTAACACGAGTTGATCTTAACATAAGAAGAGATCACCTTCATTTATCATTTGTACGGTGATGTTCAGAATTAAAGTGCAATTGTAAAAATGACTGTAAAATGTATAAAGAATGATTTAACTTTCAGGAAATGTAACTATTTATGAAAATCACATGCATTTTTTTTTTTAACTCAGCAAACCAATCGCTGCCCAGAGTTTGTATACTGACTACATAAATAAAGCAAACAAGTGTTTTTTTAAAGACTTCAGCCTTAGAAGAATTTTACATTTACGCTTAATAGATAATCGTGATCCACCATGTATTCAGTTCTATTAAAAAAATCCATCTTAATTTTTCACATACTTGAAAGAATAGTTTTACCATAAGTATCATCATTATGCTATGAAATCATTATAGTATGTATACCATAGATGATAATTAAATAATTGCATATCACATATTTATTTTTTCAAAAGAATTTGCTAGTCTTCTTACCGTGTCAAAGAATTCGATGTATTTCAAAAGGTAGACGACCCAACCGCACGTTGCCAGCTAAAAAAAAAATTAAAAAACTATTATTTTCGAAGAATGCAAAATTTGCAAGAGAAATGCTGCCATTGTGAAATCGTTTGAATGTAATTAATTCTATTGTTGTGGTAAAACACCATTTCATTGAGTAATGAAGTCAAAGTATTCAGACAATTAAAAATATAATTATCACATAAAATAAAGGTAGTTATATACAGGGGCATTAGTTATTTCGGTAATCACATTGCTGAAAATTCCGTTTCTGATAAAAACAGCATCGTAAAAATTCGAATCATTATTTTCATAGCACTCTTAATAGGCCAGTTAAATATCAGGCCAAGTAAATATGAGAGAAATGACAGCAGATGCTTTTTAAAACACTCGGAGATACAACATGAGATATATTTGTTTACAAATTTTATTGGGTAAAAGTTTAAAAAAATAAATCTTCTTTATTTATTTTCATTTGCTGAAAAGTTTTCATTTATGTACATTAGAAGAATAACTGATCGCAAATAATTGATTCATATCCTATTTCAGACCTTATGGCACGCGCAAATTAGAAAAAAAAAAAAAAAAAAAAATAGCGTATTCATATGAGTAAGAAAATCATATTCCTTGTAATAAAAAATAATAATAACAAAAAATATTAAAGGTTTCAGATTTTAAATTAGGTCCAAAGAGGCTTTTTTTAAACATTTTGTCTGTTGCCTTTATTTATTAAATATCACTTCGCACTTTAACCATAAAATTCAGTTGAAGAGCAATATCACAAAATAGTTTTAAATTGAGCATATCCCTTCAAAATTTCCGATACAGAGCCTTTCGCCCTGGAGATAAAATGTTTTTTTTTTTTTTTTTTTTTTTTTTTTTGTACAACGTTGCCATTGCTCGTTTTGAAATCCTTGAGTTGGTTAATCAAAAATTTGTTGAAGTTTTATAAAATAGGAAATCGATAAAAAAAAAAAAAAATCCAAATTTCAAATTTGGTCTTCCACATGCTCGTATTCGTAGGAGAGTTGCGTCATACAAAATTCGATGGCTCTATGTACCGTTGTTTTATCACAATGTGAGAAATATGCATACATTTATGGAGATTTTTCATTATTTAATTTTTTCAAATATAATACTGGACTCTAACATTGGGTGGCAATAGTTTGAAAAGTGAAACGGACATTTATATAGAGAACCAACGCACAATCGCAAAACGAAAACAATAGTCTTTCAGGGACAAAGCCCCTTTGGACTAGAAATTAAAAAAGTAATAAATAAAAACTTCTGACGCTTTTCCTGATGTAAAATTGATTCATTAATGGAAAATGTGTTACTGTGATTCATTTGAAGGAAATCCGTCTTAAAACTGAAAGAACTTTCATGCTAGGAAACTAAAACAGCATCAAGGGAAGCTAAAAGATCTAGCAGTCACAGTGAGTATTTAAGCTATAGCAGTAGCACTATAGCAATGAAAATACTTACTCATGCTCCTATGTGAAAAAGAAACACGCTGGTATGAAATAAAATAGCCTCTTCCGGTCTTCCCCCAAAAGAAAATTATTTTATTAAAAACTAGCCGTAAGTTCGCCAAATACGGCCAAAGCAATATTTATAATTTCTGTGCACTGAAAATAAAATGGGTGTGTGTATGGCAAAGCACACGAGGGCTATCTGCCTAAGGGGAGGGATGCCTTCGTGGAGGACTTTCTAAGGGAAACTGGCTCGTATACACGTTACACATGGGGAAAACCACGAAAACGCCCAGCAGCCAGGCCCGTTCGCGGGATTCGAACCTCGTACCGAACCCCATGTTCAGCGACTTTACCGCTCGGCCGCTGGTGGGCCCGAAAATAAAATGAATTATTAATTTAATGTACTGTATACAAAGTTCCTAGCTGCGACCAAAGCAAAAATGTATAAAAACATTTCAGTATGAATGAAATCAGTTCATTCTTTCCCAAACAAAAACAAAATCGTAAATAATTTTTTAATTGCCGAATTAGGCAACAAAAACTTTTGACACTTCAGGTTAATACATAAGACGTCGTGATTTAAATTAAATGTAATATAATTTTTTTTTTTTCAGTATCACTAAAAGAATTAAGTTGGCAATAACATACCGCGTCAATTATCTTAATCTGAAATAAAAAAGTTGCCAACAGCAGCAATTTATTTAAAATGCTGACATTAACTAAAGTGTTTTTACATCATGGACCTTATCAGAAATAGATTAACCCAAATGGGTTTTCTCCCTCGTCTGAGGCGTTCCCGGCTGTCACCTTGATCACATTCGGAGGCGTAGGGACGAATTGCAGAAATTTAACAGTGGTTGCCTATTGCAGCGTGTATAGTCATAATGATAAACTCTTTTGACTCCTTAATTTTTATACATTTAATTCTAATATTAAAATTGTATTTAACCGTAATAATTAATTTTGCTGTATTTTATGTGATATTTTTTTAAATTATTTTAGTCCATAAGATTTTTTAAATTACTGTTAATTAATTATTAGCTAAAGCTGCGGTAGCCTAGAAGGCTGTTAGTTTCGAAGCGGCATTTGCGCTGTTTTACTATAAATGTCCGTGTCTCCTTGAAAATGGTTGTTACCAAATATTATCGCCCTGTATTATATGTAAATAAATTAAATAATGAAAGATCTGCATGAATACATGTATGTTTCTCACACTTTGACAAAAACGACAGTATCTAGAGCCATCAAATTTTGAATAATGTTATCCTCCACCCGAACATGGGTATCTGGACGGCCGAATTTCGAATTTGTTTCAATCTATTTCATATTTTGTAAAACTTTAACGAATTCTTGATTAACAAACTCAACGAGTTCAGAGCGAGCACTGTACGGAAAATAACAGTTTTATCTCCAGCGCAGAAATTCTAAAGATATGCTGTTTTCAAATGTATGTGGTTTATGGGCGAAGAACATGATATTCAATAAATATAGGTAACACACAAAACTTTAGAAAAAGGTTCCTTTTGCGCGTAATATAAAATCTAAGTGCTTCAAGATTTTATTTTACTTTTTTTCCCCCTTCATTACACTCAGAAAATTTTATGCTCCGAATTTTATAAATTACTAAAACAAATATTCCAATTTAATGTTAATAAGTTAATGATGATATAATCAAATAAGTTATTGTTTTGTAATGTTATTATAGTTTTGAAAATAACTGCCTGAAAATGGTCATTAAATTTTAAAAAAAAATATCAGATCTTGTTTAATTTTACCTTATCACGTACAATCAATCTTATTTAATTTTACGTTATCTGTACGCAAAATTAAGTTCATAAATTTTGCGCGCAGTGTTTTTACCGTTTTACCAAAGTAAAGATGTTTGTACAACGATTACGCGTGAAAACAATGCGCGAAATGCGTAAAGTGCTTTAATGAGATATATTAAATCCTATTTGGAAAAAAAATTGGCTTTCATAATCTCATCACTATACTTTCATAATCTATCACATTTAATAATTAAAAAGAGTTATGTGATACAAACGTCATAGGTTTCAGTGTTAAAGTAAACCAGATCGTCTCTACTCTTTCTTTCCGACATGTCGGTGACGCACGCCCCGCCCACTGGGTTAGTCTGTCTTATAAGATCCATGTTTGACATCACAGCCAGATGACGTCACATGGAATCGCATGCTTTTTTCAACGTCAGAACATGACCTTACATAATAATAATATATTTAATGTTTGGCAAAACTATTTTTATATTTTATAAAAAAAATTATTTATTAATAAACTCTACAATTTGAAAGCGAGAAGTGGCAACACTTTTCGAAATAAAGCAGACTTTTATGTGCGAGACTGTTGCCACTCGGAAAAATGAGAGCGAAAATTAGCGTTTTCAGAGTTTTTAATTAATATCTCGACTGATTAAAGTTGTGCGAAGATGAGAATGGTCGAAATGGCTTCCTATGAATTTTTGGAATCCGGGAGAAACTTAAATAACATTTTAAATAAACTACTGGAATAAAATAATTAAATTAGAATTTTATTATTTACTATCAAATGCTTTTGTAGCCTCAGAAATATCCAACAAAAATCTCTTTTAAATGCATTTTAAATCCATTTTACAATCCGCTTTGGAGTCCTTTATTTTTTCAGTGCGTACACATATAGTGTCTCAAAAAAGTGATGCGACACTTGTGCTTTACAAAAGGAAACTGCAATAAAATAAATTTAAAAAACAAGTAAAATTTTTTGTGGGTGCGTTTCATACTTAAATTTAGTAATAATTATTGCATAACATACGTTTTCTCAAAATATTAAAATATTAATTTAATAAAAATACAGTTGTTTAGAACGGAGCAGAAAATGGCTCTATAAGTGATGGGACACTACGTACTATGCAACAAAAATCGTCTGAAGTAAGCAATAAAAATATCTTTTGGGGTATTTATTTTTACTCAAAAGTAATTGCCAATAATTTATAAAATCATCTGCAGTATTTCTGTCCAGTTTGTTTTGGAATTTTTGTGTTTTTTAGCTCTGTGCAGCCATGAATGCTAAACGAAAAGAAATTTTGCCTGGAATTCGAAAATTAGTTATTAATTTGCATATTGAACGTGGAAAAAATCTATTAGAGAAAACTACTGAAACAGTTAACTTCAGTCATTCAACAGTTTTCAATATCATTAAACGATATAAAAAGAATCATATGATTCAGGATAAAAGAAGACCTGGCCGACCATCAAAGCTATCCAATGGAAAAAGCGAATTATCGTTCGAAATATTAAAAAAAAATCCAAGAATGAGTGCTCCTAAAGTTGCTGCTGATTTACAAGCATTATATGGAGCAATTGTTAATTCTGAGACTATTAGAAGAGTAATTCGATCTACTGGATATCACGGTAGAGCAGCCAGGAAAAAAATTCTTCGTAAGTGAAAAGATAGAAAACTCAGACTGGCTTTCGCAAAATCCAACATAAATAAGAATTCTGATTACTGGAATGAAGTTATATTGCTGATAAGAGTAAATTTAATATATTGGTTTTGACGGTAGAATCTTGGTGTGGAAAACCCAGGAAAACCCAGAAAAGAGTTTCGCAAACAGAACTTGGTGCCAACAGTAAAACATGGTGGTGGAGGAGTTATGGTATGGGAGTGTATGTCGTCCTGCTGGAGTTGGTAATCTTTATTGACAGTTTTTATTGACATTTATTTATGATTTAATGATTTATTTGATTTTATTGACAGTCTAATGAATCAGGACAAGTATATTGACGTTTTAAATCAAAATTTTGAAATCTTCAGCACGAAAGTTTGAACCTTCATAACGATTTTAAATTCTACCAGGACAATGACCCCAAGCACAGTGCTTTGAACGTTAGACTCTGGCTGCTGTAACTGTCCTGAAATAATAAAAACACCCCCACAATCTCCACAATTAAATCCCATACAGAATATTTGGCAAGAATTGGAATCAAGAATTCGCAAACACACCATTTCTTCAAAACAACAATTAAAATCGGTGCTTCAAGAAGAATGGGGTAAAATCACTCCAGAAATCACAAAAAAATTAGTCGATCCATCCCAAGAAGATTTAAATCATGTTTTAAAAGTAAAAGGAAATCCAACAAAATATTAAAACCTTTTAAAAAGTAAAGTTTTTGGATAAATATTTGATGGAAAAGTAAGTGTCCCATCACTTAAGTGAGCCATTTTCTGCTCCGTTCTAAACAATTGTATTTTTATTAAATTAATATTTTAATATTTTGAGAAAATGTATGTTATGTAATAATTGTTACTAAATTTATTATGAAACACACCCACAAAAAATTTTACATGTTTTTTAAATTTATTTTATTGCAGTTTCCTTTTGTAAAGCACAAGTGTCCCATCACTTTTTTGAGACACTGTATTTCGCAAAAACATATTTCAAATAGAATCGAGAAAAGTCAGAATGGATATGTTCTTTGAAATCCCGAAATTTTGTCGACTACAATACTTTCTTTACTTCATACGAGAAAGTAAAAATGATCTATTTCGTACATTTTGAGAGTTTTCTATAATGATAAATAAGATCGTAAAATGCATATTAAATTTTATTAATCTGTGTAATTAAGTATTAGTCAGACAAATATTAATACACATCATACATAATACAGGTGAAAAAAAAAAAGAATATTTTACCGTATAAGTTGCATCTTGCCTACTAACGCGGGAAATTTCACACAGCTTTATTGTGTCCAAATCTTTCAGGTTATAGAAAAACTAAAAGTACATGATTTATGAAACAGAGTATAAATTTTATTCAATCAAAAGAAATATAAATTTCCATCACTCAAAATATAAAATGTGTATAGTGAAATCAGCATGCACCTCTTATTTTGATTTGCTAGGTTTTATTAAAACTGATGGTTGCCGTACTTATGCATAAATCGAAAAATTCTTTTGATATTGCTAAAAGTTCTTCTGATATTATATTATCACACAAAAAAATAATTTCCAAACAAATGTTAATTCAAAGAAATGAAAAATTTTCTATATTTTCAACTTAATGAAATGAAATACTTTTTCCTTTTCTTTCACAAAATTGAAAATAAAAAATAATTATTAAAGAATTCATTAATATAAATATAGTTTTTAACTCATATTGAGTAGCTAATGGGTCATTAATGTAGTCCAGCATATACATGACTAAAAACATAATAAGTAAATGGCGCTTGCATTCTTCAGTGAATAGCTATGAAACATGGCCATCGTGTTGTAGCGTTTATGCTGTTGTTGTGACTAATCTTGCTTGTCTCATATCACAGCCACCCACGAAATTCATCGCGACAAGGAGGTAAGAGTACCATCCAGGTGACAGTACGACTTTGCTCAGTTCCGCCCCGAGTTTTGAAAGAGAGCACCCCGTTGGGATAGGTCCGAAAGTTTCCCATCCCTCTCCCCTGCCACCAACCTCTCAAGAGGACTTTCTCCTCCCTGCATATTTAGAAGGCCCTCATGCCACAACACTATACATTTACAAACATCCATGCCTTCTCTGGGATTCGAACGCAGGCCCTTCGGTACGGCAGTCAGAGTTACTGACCTCTATCGCGGGTGGGCGGCGTTTGGAAAGTTTAAAGGTATCTCGTTCATTTGCGGTTTTGCAGCTGAGGATGGTGGTTCGGTAAAACCATCGAAACTAGTCCTGTGAAAATTTTGAAAATATAACGCTGATTTTTGTTGTTTGACTTCTGAATTAGTATTTGTTCGGCGTGTTATTGTGTCTTAAGTTTAAAGGTTTTTATCATTTTTACCGGTTACCTTTAAAACTAAGGCCTTTTAATTTATTTAAATATTAAAAAAATGCTGTAATTAGCCTATAATATAAAAAATTCAACCATTTTTTGGTTTATGAATTTACTCGAAATTTCGTCATGCCTAATCTAAATTCGATTTATAATGCGATTATTTTATTTGATTAAAAGAAAGTATATGAGGGTTATATGTATCTTATAGGTAAAGGATGCCTTCGTAGAGGACTTTTTTATAGGTAATGGCTGGTATTTACATTAAAGATGAGGAAAATCACGAAAACACCCACGCACTTAGCCTGCTCAGCGGGATTTTAAGTCTGAATGAATAAAAAAGCTTTTTCTATTTAAAGGGGCAGTAACACATGAATTTTAATTTAACGGGTATGATGAATTCGTTTCTATTACGTACAAGCAACTGAGTTTACACATTCAAAGATAAATCTCTCTACACGGTCTTCTATTGTGTTAGGTAATAGATGGGGGAATCAAAGATTAATTAAAAAATGTATGTATTCTAAACTAAGACTGTACAGGAAAATTAAAATTTATGGAAACTGAAAGAAAAATTTAACCATATTTAACCATTTCAATTAAATACGTTGTTTCCAATCTATCCCTATATAGCGTGGCGAGAGTGTGAGTAGGTCACTAAAAGAATCGCAATAAATTAGTGACAAATTTTATTTATAATATATGTTTTACATGAAATTTTACACCTCTTTCACTGCCTCCAACCTCTCGAGAGGACTTTCGGCTGACTGCATATTTTGAGTGTCCCTATGCTGCACAGATACTATACACTTACAAATATCCATGCGTTCTCGAACCCGAGCCCTTCATTACGGTAGTTACCGTCGCAAAACATTATTCCGTTTGAGCGGCTGGGTTGATTAACCTATTTATATAATGTTTAAGTTGATTGACCCAATATCCGTAATTCCATCATTCGGATTTTTATGATTAATCCATTTCTAAGAAACCATTTTGAATATATACTATCATTTCACCTTTTCGTTAGTCCTCACCAGGGTGCAAAAGAGTGATGTCTACTTAAGCGGAAGTTTTGGAAATAAAGCTTTTGGCAGCGACAGTAGCCAACTGCATTTTCTGAATTTTGGCATTATCCGTTTAGCTAGCCGAAATTAAATCGGCAGTTTAGAGTTTGAGCCAACACTTAGCTACTTTCAGTTACACTGTAGTCTCCAGCTTTGAATCCACTTTAATTTGAAAATTTAAGTTTCTGTCATCTATTGCACCGTTTAATTTGGACGCACAATTGTGCATTTTTTAAAGTTCCAGCTTTAAATAAAAAGATTATTTAAAACTTTTTAAGACTTCGTAGTACTTTCAAAAATGCAGCAATAACTCGTTTGTAGTCTCGTTTGTAGTCTAGTTTGTAGTCTCGTCTTTAACTAATTTAAATTCGATTTACGCATGTAAGTACCCTACAGCGGCGGTTCTCAATCTTTTCACTAACGCGTACTGTCTAAGCAAAAATTGGAAAACTTTAGTACCATCACTACATTTTACAATGATTATTTATCAGTTTCGCAACAGAAATATTAATATATATATATATGTAATAATAAAATTCCATAGTCAAGAATACACTCAAATTTCTAACCGCATGTTCCTTTCATTTTTAATGGCGACGTTCTCTTATTTGAAAGTACGTGGAATTAAATCCACAGCTCCGTAGTCAAGTTGTTTTTCCCGCCTTTTCTACACGTACAGTTATAGAATGTTCTCGAGATATTTAAAGCGAACTGGAGTGGCTGACGTCATTTCTTGGAAGCTCCGCCATTCCAGAGGCTATAAAAGGACTCGCAAGAGGAATATCGGGGCTTTTTCTTAAATGTAACGATGCAGTAAACTTCATTGTTTGTATGAAGTCTGTTTGAGAAAGATCACTTTCCTTATATCTGGTGTTATTTCACTTAGCTTCAACCGTAAATTAGGATCCACTTTTAATTTTTTTCTGTATTAATTTTTCGAATATAATATGAAAGAAAATCCTTGTTAACACAAATACGTTTTGCGAAAAGGCAATAAGAATTTAATAGCTTTATTTAAAGTGCCTTTAAATTCGTTTTTCGGTTCAGCCAAAAGTTTGTAGAGTTCCTCTCTTTGTAATTCTAACTTAATGTTAGAAGTGAAGAATCTTAAGAACTGATAAGCAAATAATCGCTCAAGTTCCGGTGACAAGAAATAACAAGATAGAAGGGTAACTAACCCTTTATTATTCCAATAAGATTTAACAAAACTCCGCCTGGGAGTGTACAAACAAAGCCGACACTTGGGCTTGAACTTAAGAGACTAAGAATTAAACTAATAAAACTAAGGATAAGGATAAGAAACGGGGGACGTTGGCAGTATGCCTCTACCATACGGTTAATTAGTATAGCACCACGTCCACTATGATCTAGAGAATCCTTAGGACAACACTAATTCAAATACGTGAGTACATAATTGAAAATGAATGATTGATTACAAACAATTGTGGTATACCTTGGCAGTAAAATTGTTGCATTTGTGTAAATAACAAGTTACGATACATTTAACATAATACGATGTTGTTAAGAAATGATATGTGTTATTGCATAAGACTTCTAACAAATGATGTATGATTATACTGAATACATGACACAGCGCGAGGATAAACTCCTGAGGAGAAGTCAATGGATTGGATTATTTAATTACGGCAAAGCACGCGAGAGGGATGCCTTCGTGGAGGACTTTCTAAGGGAAACTGGCTCGTATACACGTTACACATGGGGAAAACCACGGAAACGCCCATGCAGCCAGCCCGTTCGCGGGATTCGAACTTCGGACCGAACTACCAATGTTCAGCGTCTTTACCGCTCGGCCGCTGGTGGGCTAGAGGAGAAGTCAAACATATAACTATAGAGAGATTATAATACGATAAAAATACTATTCAGTATGATAAAAATCCAGTATAGGATGACAAAAATACAGTAATTTACAGCAGATTACAGTAATGATGAATACAAAGGTATGGATTAATATGTTTTCGGTAAACTACATTGAAAATATTATGCCTGTTAAAAAAATAGATGTGCATATGACATGATACAGTTTAAACAATTGTAGTATACCTTGGCAATAAGGAATTGCTGCATTTGTGTAAATAGCAGATTACGATACATTTAACATAATGCAATGTAAATACGAAGTCATATATGTTATTGCATAAGACTTCTAATAAGTGATATATGATTATACTTAATACATGAAACTAAAACTAAGATTAACTAAAGAAATATAGCCAAAGCTATCAAGATTCAAATCGAGTTGGCCCCTTAACTTATTTGACTACGAAGCTTAGCAAGGGCCTGAGTACGGCCGAGCGTAATAACAGCTTTGAGAGAGAGAGTGGCCAAAAAGGCAGACGCGCGTAAATCAGAACCTCTGATTCTCTCTGACTCTGTAAGTAACTTCGTAGTTTTAATACCACTCCTCCTCATTAAATTGGTGTATTTAATTATGGCAAAGCACACTAGGGCTATCTGCCGAAGAGGAGGGATGCCTTTCGTGGAGGACTTTCTAAGGCAAAGTGGCTCGTATACACGTTACACATGGGGAAAACCACGAAAACGCCCATGCAGCCAGCCCGTTCGCGGGATCCTCCTCATTAAATATTCAGCAAAATTCCAAAACTACGTTCTGGCCGGAAGTAGTAAGTTAAGAATTTGACAGGAAAGGAACTTTAACTTAAAATTTAACTGTTAATAAAATTAACATAATCCTTATAAGTTAGCAAGTATTTTTTTCGATCACAGGAAATTTCTATCAATTGTTGTTTCTCTGCAGGAGATTTTTGAATTTAATTTTTAAAAGATATTATTTCTTTATGTACAACCTATTTTTCTTTTGCGTACAGCTGGCTTAGAATCGCTGACCTACGGTATTATATTGATTTTGTGATATCTCTAAATTGATAATACGAGGTATGTCACATCTTGTTTTATTTTCTTTGAAATAATTTTATCATTATGTTTTCGTTGGTGTTTCGAAGTTCTGGCTGCTGTTGCAAAGATTACAGAATAAATTGCGAAATTTTGCATTATTACCACTAAACTGATTGCAAACCCGTTATTTAGTTCATAGTTCCTTTTATGGGTTTAGTTCATTTATTATTATTCATTTTAGTATTATATTTTATTAAAAACATACTCACCGTACAAAGAGCTGCTAGGTAAGTAACTACCAGAAAAAGATTGTATAAAGCCATTATTTTCCTAAGGTCATAAGGTTTTCGGTTTTTCATGAAGTACGGTCCAATCACCTTGATGGTCAGCAGGTACATGAAGCTGAGAAAAGGCGGCCAGAAGTCGCTTTTTATCAGAAACCATTCCCGAATAGTGGGATCTGTAACATAACAAGAGCTTTAGTAGTTTGAAAATATCAGCGTTTTCCAATTCCAACTATAATATTGTTAATTTAAAGATGCATTAAAATAAAATTACCAGACAGAATTACCATTCCTTCCGTATTATTTCATCTGAAGCTTTTACTGTCATAAAGTTAACAGGGAAGTAATTCTTATTTTTCTTTTGTTTATTACCAACCAAAAGCAAAGTTAAAAGCGAAGAGATACTCGCCGAAGTGAAACATAAAATTAGCAAAGCAACATTGTGTTTGGCGTAGATTTAGTAAAGACCTAAATCGATTTCGTGAACAAACAGGTAGAAGTCTCTCTTCATCAGGAGCAAGGAAATCTGCAAGAATGATGAAGAGGGATCCTACCTGATTGCCCTCGAAATGCATTGGGTTTTTGTCTAAATTTAAATCAAGGACAAGGTTGTTGCTTTACTAAATTTACGAAAAGCAAAATTGCTTTCAATCAAAAAGCATTATTTGCTATTAATGAGCAAAATTAACATCAATAGGATTTTGCTGTTCATGCATGCAGCTACCTTAAGTATTAACGAAACCTACGAAAGCAAAATATAAGAGCTGTTTTTCAATAAGAAAATATAATGTTTCTACTTCCTTGTTCGAAGTAAAAAGGAAGTATTATAATCGCGAAAAGTTTCACGCAGCACATTTCAACGAAAATGTCCCATTTTCACCTCTTTCAAATGCAATTTAACGATGTAATTCCGTGATATCTGTATGTAAGGACAGCAGATAATTGTGGCGTCTGTACGAACGTACATATCTCGCATAACTCAAAAACGAGTGGCCTCAGAACGTTGAAATTTTGTATATAGGACTGCTATAGCATGTAGATGTGCACCTCGTATTTTGGTTGCAATCGGCCGCGCCAAACGTATATAAATATGTTTATATATATATCCACTCTGTTACCCGGCTCAGTGATCTCAGTTTCTTTACTCTCATATCTTTGTAAATTGTACATTTTTTGCTTTAAAAATGATTGAATTATGTTATTCTTATCTTTCGGTTAAGGTTTTTATGACTTTAGTAAATCTGTATGCAATATTTTTAGAAGTATCAACAATTTAAAAAATGTTTAAGTGCCGCTAAGCCTAATAATGTTTTGATGGCGGCCCATGCTCTTGTTTACATTTGAAACCGCAGGATAGCGGATTTGTTACCAATCTAGAGAAACTTAGCTTCGCAACAACAAAGATAACGCCTTCATTTATTATTTAAATCATGCTTAATCCTTTCTGGAATTTTTTCGAGGAATTATGCGTTCAAGATTTACTTCGTAATTTTTAATACAAATATTTTGAGTTTTTATGTATTTTTGCCTTGTCGCGAAATGAAAACTGAATTAATTGAATGAGAAATACTCAATCGTCTGTGAAAAACTGTTTCTTTTCTGTTTTGTTTCCCTAATTTCTTTTATACACAGCTCTAGCTTTATTATAGTATTTGAATAGAACATGTGGCAACGATTCGATAATTCTTTAAATGATATACTTTTTGTGCATTCTGAGTTATAATGTGAACGAAATATAATACTGTTAAGTGAATCTAGAGTGTCGCTATGGTAAACAAAGTGAATTTTGAAGAATGCATTTATTTTATTGTGGTTTATGTGCTGTCGGCGAAGTAGGTTTAATTCAATCTAATAAGTTTAAATGAAATGGAAGAAAAAATGCGTATAATTTAATATTCCGTACAAGGAAGTCGTGTGGTGTACACATCAGATTTTTTTATTATAACGAACTGCTATCATATTCATCTTTCATAAATCCATTCACATAATATCTTACGAAGTTCTTAATATGAAGGAATTACCAGAGAGGATAATCGAATTACTGCCATTTTTATCGAACATGAAATTTTTCCATAATATATCTTCCGAAATTGTTACTATGAATTAAAACATGTTGAGTACTATTCTGTGGAATCTTCTAAAATTTAAAACTGAGATGTGAAATAAAAGCATTCTTTGAAAGAAAATGCTTAATATTTCTTTTACATGGGCAAATTATTTTGTTAAAAATTCTTTTAACAAACAAATTGGTAAATATCATTTTAAAATAAATCGCAAAAAAAAGGAAACACAGTAGAAATTTTTCTTTATAGTTTTATTGCCTATTATAGTTTGTCTGGAAATTTGGTTTCTATTGCTGGCAACGCATTGACAATTAGAGCTTCCTAATCTGCAACGAAATACCTTGCGGATACTATTTAAAAACATTATAGTGAATACTAAGCTGCGTCCTAAAATTCTAAAATCCTGAATAATTTTTCAGTGTTTTGGACTGTACTCGCAATCTTTTTTGTTTAAAAGGAGGTTCTTGCTGTTGAGATGAACTTTTCTATGGCCCCAAAACCTGAAGTTCGCTTTAAAACGAAACAAAAACCATAGAATCAATGAAAGATGAAATCAGAACTGAATGTTTAGATAGAAGTTTTTATAGCACGAAGAGGCTGCAACGTGAAATCCATCCCATGATTGCACATTGTGGCTCATTCAGTATCCTAGGAACTTCTGTCTGGGACTGTCCTAATTCTATCATTCGGATATTTCCATTCCAAAGAAAGATTCAGGTTATATTTTTGTGCAATAATAGAGTTTTCCTTGACAATGACACCAGTTTTTACAGGAATTCTAAGAAACCGGAATGAGATTGGTATAATTGTAGTGTCATTACGTTACATTGTTACTGGCACATGAAAATATGCAGCGCCTTCACCACCAACGTCGGAACTCCGGAATAAGCGCCGAGAATGCTACCATAGAAAAAAGGAGAAAAACCTTTTGTTAACCTTTACCTGTCTCCTAGGGTGTCGACGTAGGGTACTCTGCGAAGCTATTGGCTAGGATCTGTACCTAGGCAGTCTCGGCCAGGGGGTATAATATTGATGAACTTGGCTGTTCCCGATGGTCCGTGGAGTGGGGCTCATCTCCACCTCTCACAGGCCGGGAGGCAGAGGTCCTCCCCCACCAGGGTATTGGAAGCCAAATAGCACCTGGGCCATTGAGCGTTCAGTCCCTGCTGTCCTTGGTATTCCATGTAATACCTAAGGAAAGGGGCAGCTCGCGTAGTGCTGGCAGGTAGCCATAAAGAATGACCAGTCCAAGTTCCAAGTTCTCATGCCCACCCCACCGTGGTCTCCGTCCGGCCGGGACGGTGGTTCTGACTGGCCTATGCTTAGCGGTGGGAAAGAGGGAGCCTAAAAATTGTTGGTGTCTCGGGGATGTGGGACCCTGGGCCCAGCAGGTGTGTCAATTGTTATCACATGGGTGACATCGAATGATGCTTTGTATCAGTCCCCAAAATGTGATTTAGTTTACGGGTTGGGTATAAAGTTTAGTTAGTAGTTACCTTTACCTACCCCCTTTTAAAGGGCGACTGGGGATTGCAGGACCCAATCGCCAAATCTTGAGGATGAAGTATCATCATCCACCACCTTTTAGTTCGGGTACCACTGTAGATACATTAGATATTATGAAGCAGGAGACGCGAAAACAGCAATGCCCTCGCCGGAATTCGAATCTGAACCTATCGAATACGTGCCGAGTGTGCTACCGTTACACCACGAAGGCATGTTAGAAGGAGGGAGAAAATACTTTATAAACTGTATTTATTAAGTTGTACATTAAGGCCGCATTTTTGTGCATGCAGCACCGACTGGTAATATCTGCATGTACAAAGAGATCGACTTAGGCTAGTGGAGAATGTTTACAAATTTCGGTTCTTTCGCTTGCTATAATCCTTTCCAAATTAAGCTTAAATTTCACATATTAAGCTTAAAATTTAGGTAACAGTAGAGTGTTTCAATTTCGCAGTACACTAAACAACAGAAGGCAGTTTCTTTGACTTGAAAAAAGTGGTGATATTACCTCTTGCTACATTTTAGCAAATTTATAATCTCGAGCTCTTAGGTAACTTAAAATGTACGAGAACTCTTTCGCTACGTTTTGTAAGTACCACAGAGACGGGAAAAGTTTGTCAAGGACACTTTTATCCAACTCAATTAACAGTTAACATACGGCACCATTGGTGCTTGCAAAAGCCAAAAATTATGGCTTAAATCGAAGGTAATGGATGAACTTAAACTAAGACAAGTAAGTTAGCCTAACAGCTGCACAATTAGCATGACGCGCAAGCTGGTTTTGATCTAAAGTCGGCGTAACAAGTCCAATGCCAAGAATAACGGAACGCCACACACAAATTACTAGCAAGCGAATCAGTTTAGTAACATAACCTTCCGGCAGGGAGATCTTGTTCTGATTCTATCCGCTAAAACAGGGATGGGCCAACTCCGACCCCCCCCCCCCCCCGCAGAAGATTCTATCCGGCCAGCGGATAGAATTTTAATTCGCCAGTCCGAGGCAAAAACCCTTTCAGGGGCGCAATGTTATGATTTTTTAAAAGTTATGAAAACGTAAGCATAATGTTATGCAAGGGTCCTATAGACAACATAAATGAGTTTAAAAAATTTTTTTTCCTCCCCCTTTATGGAAAGGGGACCGGTTTCGCCTTGAAATCAGCGCCCGTCTAGATCATTTAAGACTAAGCATTTGCTTATTTATCTCTACTTTGCTGGAAAGTATCTGAACGTAACCCACATTGCAGATTATACTAGTAAATTACTGAACAACTAATGAAGTAAGTAATATTTGCATAAACACGCATTTTTAATTATAAATAAAAAATTCAAAACAGGAAACAAAAATATGAGACAAAAAATAACTAATAATGCATTAAATTACATAAAACTATGAAATGTTTTTAAAAATTATGTTAAAAACAAAGAAAATTATATGTGAAAATAAAATAAATTTAGATGCATACAAATATTTTACTATGAACTAGAAGCATGAGAAAAGCGACGGCTAAGAGAAGCAGAATAAAAACGCAACTGTGAGTGTTCTTCAGTGCCCCTGTAAAAAATAAGAAATGTTTTTCTTCTCTCAAAAGCCCCATAAATCCTCATAT